AAAATTTCAATAAAATTTAAACGATTTATAGAATGCTTTTGCCAACCAGTTTCAAGGTCCTTTTTTTGCAATGGACCAAACAAAAAGTGACCTCTGGAATTTGAAAAGTAAGAAGATAATAAGAATATCAACCACATGGTGACAAGAATGTTTCAAAACAAATACTCAGTAATGCAGGAGAACCTTGCAGTTTTCTTTCAAGGCATACATTTTCTACAAAATGTTTACATGCTTAATATAATGCAAAGCATTCATTCTTTAACCCAGTTTAAAATTCCTTGATTTAAGAGAATTCAGTTGATGACATTCTGCCTTAATTTTTTTGAAGAAAACAGGTGAAATGTTGACCACTAGAAAATTTCACAATTTCGCCCTGACGTGCCAAGTTCAAGAAAATATGTTGCATGAAATGAAACCAATTTACTGTATCAACTGGAATTTATAACTATTCAACCAAAAGTAAAACAACATGGATATAATGAATAAAATAAAATATAGTAGTGCAAAATATTTTTGTTTGTTTCAAGTCGAAAGATAAATTATTTTGGGCAAGAAAACAATTTTCCTTTTTCATATCCTCACATGCTTCGATATAATTTCTGTCAGTTTGCCGAGAACAGATACAAATAGTATAACAAATTTAACATCTTTAGTAATTTTTCAAGTCTAAGGTCAATGTCAATATTTGAGTGAGATAAATTACAAAATTTAGAAGAAAAAAAACATTTGCTAAGAGTCATTTACCTCTTATAGTTGACTTGAAATTGTTTATATCACATTAAATAAATTACATATATTAATATGCCTCTGAATAACCACTAGAGTTCAAAACCACCTCTACTAGTATTAATTCAGCCATGGAGAAATGCTGGTTACACTTCAAGCACACTCATGCTGCTGATTGAGGGACAATACGAACACACAACCATCACATTTGATTGTGAGATTTGCACTCACACAGCAGAAAGATAGCACGGCCACTTGCTTTAACTCATTAACAATTCATGGCTATCGCACGCAAGCAAATTTAACATTTTTTTAAGCACAATTCAGACTTGGGACTCCAGGGAATTGTCCATTTAAAAAGACTTGCATAGCTAACAGTAGAGCGAGTACGAAGGATGCGAGAAAGATGGAATGATAAATAACAATGGACGAGATGCCGAATTAGATTTATCTGACAATGAGATCAATATAATGACATAGTATTTGATCAGCCCAAAAGGTATCACTTTCTGACCGCACAATACAACCTTTTTAATGGAAGATGGGAATTGTTAGAGGAATAAGATCTATTTAAAAACCAGCTAAAGAAGAATGGGAAATCCATGTATTCGTAGATAACGCTGTACTCACAAGCCGCAAATAAAACAAATCTATGAGAGAACAAATGATAAGAGAGACAAATCTCTTCCAAGCGAGTGAAATAATTATATTGAGATCTGTGCACTCATTAATTCCTAAAATGACATCACTTGTGAAATAAAAAAAAAAAACTCACAATACATGGATGTTTTTAATATCGATTAATAACAAAAAGGATATTCCTTTGTGGTGCTGTTCGATGCTTGAGGCTGACAGTGCCGCACAAAAAGGATATTCCTCTGTGGCACTGTAGGGTGCTTGAGTCTGACATTGCGGCAGAAGCAAAATATTATGACTCATTCAAACGATAAAGATATCATGGCATAATAGGCGCTTTACAAACCTGTGTAGATTGAGTCAACTTGTTAAATTGGAATGAGAAGGGAACAGGCTACTGAATAGTCAATGCACTGTGGGCATCGCAGCTGTGTAACACATGTATGGATAACTGTTATTACAACGCAATGAAATCCGCTCTTTCTTAAAGCGATGAGAAAGAGCAGTGACACCAGCTTGTATTCAACTTATCATACATGAGCTTTTAAGTGCAAAAAGGTGAGCAAGAGAAAAGCTATTAGACAGCGAGTCTTTTTAAATGTACACGTTTACTTCAACTGAATAATGTCTAAATGATAAAAGCTGCATTAAACCCAATATAATATTCTTAATGGAGCAGGAGTATAAGGTGTTCACTATGACTCACAAATGCAATATCACCAGACATGATACATGTATCCTAATTTTGAAAAAAAAACAATACTCCTTGTTTTTTTTAACTCACTACTGCAGTGACAGTGAAATTAATATGAATTTGCTTAACTAGAAAATAATGATTACCGGTAGCACCTTTTACATTTCTAAAAAGCTTTGGTTGTGGGTAAATTCATTGTGATTTAAAAGTGTGCTTACAAATTTGGTTCAGCATTCAGCAACAATTATACTTGCTTTATTGTTTTTTTTTTATTTAATTTTAAGTAATCTTGATGAGTAGATTTTAAAAATGTTGGTTTAATAGAGAACTACAAATTATGCAAATCATTGCATTATCATGCAAATTATTTACAATATTTTTTATTTGGGGATTCAATGGTGACCATGTCCCAGCATGTGTAGCACAAATTCAGGAAACAGTAGTCAGTTACTTGACAGAAATTCATTCTATCTAAAGATTGTAGATCTCTGCATTGTATTAAAGTGCTGAAACTATTCACGCATCATAGAATAAATGAGGTACTAATCCGCAATTCAAACAAGAAGCAAATGTAAAAGGTGATTTTATCTCCAGCAATACGGTGCACTATATTAAACATTCACAAAGTCAGGCGATTACACTACGCTGTTTTGACAATTTACCAACCTCATAACTATAGATCTTACAGATGTGATCTTGATACAGGTAGTATGGTACATATAGATTCAGTTCTGCTATCTAAAATTCAGGAAATGATACGAAAACCTCAAAGTTGATATGACTAAGAATGCATTTGTCACAACATAACTGTATGACATAACCATAGACACCATTACAAACAAACCTAGTGAATTTACTTATTGTACATGAATACAATCTAATTTAAAGTACCTTATTTACACTATTTTCGCTGAAGGAATAAATCGATGGAATTATTTTTTTCCCTATATATTGTACATTCAACTCATCACAAGTCGGTGAAAATAATCTTCATACAAAACAGCCAAAATGTTTTTCAGAGAAATTTAATTTCCAGCTGAAATAAAATACTTTAGAGTATCTTGCTAAAAGACCACAATACATCATCTGTAATTAATGCACGAGAATGACTGGTACATGCATTTGTCTCAATAAACCTGCTTCGTTTACTTTTATAATGAGTGAGATTTCCGGTCGATCTAACCCAGAGGTTCAACAGTTCAAAAATATAGTAAATTTAAAGTATGTGCTAACACTGCAGGTCAGAAGAAACACAAAGTTGTAAATACCGCTTTTCAAAAATATGGTACAAACATGTGGCGATTGAAGATATTTGAAGGGTCGGATGCTCAATGTATTTAAAAAATAACTTAATTTGCATCACAATGACCTGTGGCAACATTGTGACATTATTGAGAAGTTTATGTACAAATGTATGTGTCATATAGGTGAATGATAAAATAGAAGCAACTGGTTGGAGTGCAAACCAATAGCTGTATTTTTCCATAGACCATATGCTCTTCCCTATGGCCTTTAGTTTTACATGCTTGAATTTTCAGTAAAACAACACAGTCAACGATAATGCTAAGTGTAAAGAGAATAAAATTCACTGGTAATATGTAAATTATCCTCTACACCAGAGCTTGTAGCTGAGAGTGTACACTGCAGCAATTATGACTACTCCCAAATTAACAGAGTTCCAGAATGTAAATGAGGGGACAGGAAATGGTTTAACAATAATAATAAATTTATTTTATATGATAGGCCATCAGCTCAAATGCGTACATTACTGTAGCAATAAATGAACATGAATTGTTGTAATTGTTTCCAGGTTTTGAATATTCAAACAATTCCAGGATTGGCTGTAACAAAATGAACTGTAGGCAGCACATAGATTACACAGAAAGACTTGCTGACCTTTTTACATAAATACTGTGCATTGTATTACAACTTTATACACACAGATTTTGGACATTCATTGTTAATTACTACCTATAGGGAACTAACACACTTCATGTCACTGAATAATATTGTACCATGAATGAACTTACACCCGTTGGTTTCAGCTAATACTTCCTGGCGTTTTTAGCTGCAGAGTCATCAGATTCGGAAAAGCACAAGGACAGTGACCTTCCCATCTCAGTGAAATAGCTTTACACAAAAAGGTCACAGAATCTGACCTGCGAATGTGAATGTACAGCCAAGCCTCAACTTGCCAGGAACAATTCAAATACTAATACCTTTAAGTATATGTCACTGTCTGGACAGGAAATACTGAATACATATGCATGGCTTCTAATGAGGGTAGATTATTGGCACAATTAAGTGTGAACTATTATGACGTTTTACATGCACAATGTAAACTTATGTTGTCTAGACAAACTACAATTACATATGATGTAGTCTGGCTTTGTGACCACATTTGTTTACAAGTACACATAAAATATATACATTTGTTTCACATTTCATAATTTTTTTACCAATTTCTGAAGAAACAAATAGATCATATATTCTTTGTCATGATTGCTACTGCTGTTGAGAAACATTTTAACTTATTTTCAAACACTTAAAAATCCAACTTTTAATTAAATAAATTATTATAACTTTCCATGTTTTTAGAAAGGACACGCGACAGAAATAGCAAGAAGAGTTCAAGTTCAGTTCCAAACTTAAGGAATTCGCCAAACGTCACACACGGTTTACCGTTTAAAAGCAATCGGATAAGGGATAATATTTACAAAAAATGACAGCGAAATAGGAACGGCCCATTGACCGACTAATTATCAAAATTGACGCGCGCCGCGCTGTCAGGTGTAGTTTGGCGACAGAAAACTGCCAGAAAAAAATCGCTTTTAGAATATATGACCGCAAATCCGCGCCATATACGGAGTTGAGTTTGTTTGTATAATGAATACTTCGATCAAGAGGCAAAGAAAAGAAGTCATCAAGTCACCGGTCAACTTACAGGTTTTCGACGCTGCCGTCTTGTTGGGTCCGTTGATGCTGTGCTACTGAAAATCCAAAGTAACTATCGTTGCGTGTTCCGATATATTCCTTTACTATTGGAAGCCTGGTTTCTAAGTTGAAACAGTCAATCATACATAGAAAGCATGAGACTATGAGACAAACTACGTTAATCCAGTTGAAAATAGTTGTAGTCCTCGCCATTTTGCTACAGCAGCAAGTGTACACTGACACACATTTATGAAATTCTTCGCTGGTAATCACGCAAGCGACGAGAGTAGGAGCGGGTTGGGCTTTACTTCCGGTTTGCCTTTTTTCCACGCGGATTGACTTTTAATTGAATCACACTATGATCAGTATATATTTTTGGTTATATGTATTAGTATAATCTGAAGCCTATCAAAACATTATTTCAAGTCATTATAATGACACGTTTTAGTCGTTAAAGGATTAAATATGAAAAATGACTACGGACTACTTTGTATATGTTCAAGAACAAAATGTTATTCGGTCACTCACAGCTGAGTGGGGGTCGATGATCGTTGTTGATAATAATTTGGCGATGACATTGTATAGATTCCGTATACAGCATATATAGACGATGTTGTCAGTGTTACTGAAAGAGCACCAAGCCAAACAGGCAGCTAGGCGAGAAATCCAAGGTAAGCCTTGGTTAACAAAATGTCTTGCACTTCCTTTTGCGATCATTAGGATGAACGGACGTCCATGTTTGTTTGCTGTACTGTTTATTTATCCATTTTGTTCGCTGGTCAACGATCAGCAAGTCTAACCATGCGTGTTTCATCTTCTCAGAACACTGTAGTTGAGCTTTATTGAATATACACTTCGAACTATTTTTTTAATTTTGTGCAGTTCTAATGTCTTAGTGCTAACATGTGAACAACAGATTCTTGAACAGAAACTGTTATTGTGCTCCCTAGAGGGCGCTTCTTGGATGATTTGTTTTACATACTCTCCATAGAGACCCATCTTCGCCAGACAAGGTTCGTTTATTCGGCTGTCGCCTCACCAATATAGACTATAGTGATGGCCGTGGACAGTCTCTTCGAAATGGTACAGATTATATAGTACATGTATACTGGCGTATTGTTTTTCCAAATATTTGGTATTTGATATAATAATGATAATTATGTCACCGCCCTGATGCAGTATATATATTCACAGTTGTAATATATGATGTAAACAATTTTTACTTCTGATATTGTATGGTAAACACCATATAAAGTGCACAGATTCTGATATTGTATGGTAAACACCATATAAAGTGCACAGATTCTGATATTGTATGGTAAACACCATATAAAGTGCACAGATTCTGATATTGTATGGTAAACACCATATAAAGTGCACAGATTCTGATATTGTATGGTAAACACCATATAAAGTGCACAGATTCTGATATTGTATGGTAAACACTATATAAAGTGCACAGATTCTGATATTGTATGGTAAACACCATATAAAGTGCACAGATTCTGATATTGTATGGTAAACACCATATAAAGTGCACAGATTCTGATATTGTATGGTAAACACCATATAAAGTGCACAGATTCTGATATTGTATGGTAAACACCATATAAAGTGCACAGATTCTGATATTGTATGGTAAACACCATATAAAGTGCACAGATAAATGTCAAATTTTTATGTGGAGTTTACATGCTATTACTTTGTAGCGCGGCTCGGCTATCTCAAAAATTGCACCACAATTCATCACAGGAATTGTAATTTGCATGTTCCGCCCAGTTGTTACCTATGGGGTGAGAATACCGCCAAAATTAGCTTGGTGTCATTATTTGAACATTGT